TATATATATATATATATATATATATATATATAAATAGATAGATAGATAGATTACAGACATAACAAATAAAAATAGATTACAGACATAACAATCTAATACAAGCCAGATTATTTTTCAGAATTAACAAACCGATTTGATTAAAATTGATTATGCGCAGCAGTTAACAAAACATACAAAGATAAAATTAAGATTACTTGTACTAATTAAATAAAAAATAAAACAAATACTAAAACTAAAAAAAAGATTTTTCATAAAACAAATTGAAACAGATTATGTGTGACGTTTTAGTTTATATTTATCTCTATATATAATCTTTATATGTGTATAGATTACGGTGTTTGAAAAAAAGGTAGAGAAAAAAAAAGACCACTAGCTAATCATCTAGCCCAGATGTATTTAGTACTAAATATCTATTTGTACCACTTCTTACAAAACAGTTTGTAGAAAATCTTAAAATTAAATTTTTTTTTTACATTCATGTTTGTAAAGACAATTTAAATAAAAATGGACTCTATTTTTCAAAAAAAAAACTAATCTTATAAAAGTTGTTTCAAAAAACTGTAAAATCCATAAATATTTAACAAATAAAAATACATTTACACTGATTTTTTTTAAATAAAATTTTAAATTTTTTTAGTAAGTAATATGTTTTTTTCAAAATATATTTTTGAATAAATTTTTGTTTTAGAATATATATTTAAAAAATTAGCAAAATACCACCAAAAAAAAAGATAGAAGTATTATATTCGATAAAATATTTTTAGTTAAAAAGTTAATTAAAAAACCTCCAGCAAAAAAAATATGGAACTGCTAATAGATAATTCAATATTTTCTCTTTCCAAATTCTCTCTTTCTACAAAAAATACAAGTTTAAAGATAAAGTGGAGGTCTTATTAGGTTGTCATAACAAAAATTCTTCTTTAATACCTAATTGTCCACTAGATTAGTCTGACTGCAGCATACTGTCCAAACTAATTGTTCCTTGGATTCTTGGTGGATTTAAAGTACTTATAATGCACAATACAAGGTATGGTAATTTTTTCAATAAGTTTTAAATCAATTTAATCCATAAACTTTTATACTATTAAATAATATTTTTACAGGATTAAAATTGAGAAACTGTTGAAGGATTGAATGAAATTAAAAGATCAAATTTAGAACAAATTCTGCTGAAGTAAAAAAAAAGACATTTAGTCTTTTGTTTATTATGTATATATATATATATATATATATATATATATATATATATATATATATATATATATATATATATATATATATATATATATGTATATATATATATATATATATATATATATGTATATATATATATATATATATATATATATACATATATATATATATATATATATATATATATATATATATATATATATATATATATATATATATATATATATATGTATATATATATATATATATATATATATATATATATATATATATATATGTATATATATATGTATATATATATATATGTATATATATATATATATACATAAAGGATTGGCAATCTAACATCAAACTGAAAAGGGAGCTATGATGGTTTTGTGTAGATGTACCAACTGTATAGAAAAAATTGCCAATCCTTTATGTATATATATATATATATATATATATATATATATATATATATATATATATATATATATATATATATATATATATATATATATATATATATATATTTATATATATATATATATATATATATATATATATATATAAATATATGTATATATATATATATATATATATATATATATATATACATATATATATATATATATATATATATATATATATATATATATATATATATATATATATATATATATATATATATATATATATATATATATATATATATATATATATATATATATATATACTCTTGCATGGTAGTTGAAAATAGTTTCCCATAAACTGTAGTTTTAAAGAGCGCGTTAATAAACCAGACCAGAAAAAGTTTAAAAGCTTAACTTTTTTTTTTTTTTTTAAATGATAGACTGCCTGCCCAAACCAAACCCTCAGTCGATGTAGCAGCACTCCCTTGCGAGTCAGGCTATTTGTCAGTCATTGTAGCAGCACTCCCTTGCGAGTCAGGCTGTTTTTCAGTCGATGTAGCAGCACTCCGTTGCGAGTCAGGCTCTTTGTCAGTCGATGTAGCAGCACTCCGTTGCGAGTCAGGCTATTTGTCAGTCGATGTAGCAACATTTACGCATGTTTTAAAAATGTTTTTTAATAAAATAAAAACAAAAACATCACTAAAAAAAAAACTTTCTAGTCGTTATAATTGCGGTTTTTTAAAAATTTTGAGAAGCAAAAGAGTTGACTTGTTAATATTGAGTATTATTTTTAATACAGTAAAGAAAAGGTTAATAACTTCTTTGAATCAAATGCAGTTTGTTTTTACTTTTTTCTTGTCATATGTATTTTTCTATCGTCTTAAACAAAAATGTTTAGCATAAAAATCTAATAAATTTGGTTCTTTCTATTAAAAATGCTTCAGCTAATAAACTCAAAATTAATATAAGGATCCGAATTATCAATTTATTTACAAAAACAAGATTATCAAATCATTAAAAACTATTTGATTTGCAATGCTCATTTCAAGCATTAAATGATGGAAAAAAAAAGTTTTAAATTTTTTTAATTAAATTTCATGTTTTTTTAGTATAATTTTTATAAAGTAATTTTAATAAAGTTTGCTGGTTGTTTTTAACAGATACTTTTAGTAAAAAAATTATCACTTATCAAATCCAAATAATGCTCGATATGAGTAATCTTTTTTGTAATAACAAATAATGATCTTTTTTTGTTATAACGGTTAACAAATTAGCAGTATAACAATATGATCAAAAGTCGTAATTGATATTTAATTGTCAAAGAGTAAGTAGGTAGACTCAAGATGAAATGTTCGGAGTTTGTTTAATAAAACTAAAAATTATTGCTAACCATAGCTAGAAGACTATACAACAATAATTAGAAATAATTAGAAGACTATACAACAATAATTAGAAAATTTACATACTGTAAATAATTTTAAAGTTTGAGCCATAAGAAAAACAGGTTTCAGTTAAGAAAATGTTTTAAATATGTTGTCTTAAAGATTTGCTTAAAAGCGATTTAAAAATGAAATCAAAAAACCTTATTACAAAAAAGACTTTATTTCACATCATCTTGCGGAAATTTTAGTTATAATAATTAATGAAAAAAAAAATTAAACTTTTATAAAAGGTTTTTGAATAACAAAAGGATGAAACAAATTAAAACATTAAAAAAAAGAAAATTTAATCAATGAAGGTTTTAAAAATGGATTATATTACGCATCAAAAAAAATGTGAAGATCTCAAATTATTTATAAATTTTCATTTCAAACCGCAGTCTAAATTTAGAGTGCGGCTTGAAAAAAATTTTAGTTTATTACCCAAACGTCATTTAAAATTTTTTTTTATAAAAAATCGAAAAACTTAAAGTTTTTAACAAAAATTTAAAGTTAGAAGTTTTTATTGAAAAAAATTAAAGTAAAAATCAAAAAAGAATTTATTTCTATTTATATAAATGAAATAATATTACAATTCGAAAAAAAAATGATTTTGATTTTATTATGAACTGAACAAAAATTGAGAATATCATAAGCAATAAATTTTTAAAAAAGTAACAATACGCCTAACTAACTTATTTGACAATAAACTGATGACTGATTTACTAGCGAGAAACAATAGAAGTTTACTTCGGATAGATTCTTTATAAAACATTTTTTAGCTTAATATTAAGTTCAATACACGATGAAAACTTCCAACAACTAAATTAATGAAAACTAAAAAAAATGAAAACTAGCTTACAGCACCGAAATTTAAAAGTAAAAAAAAATCAAGTCTTAACTATGTCTTAAATCATCATTTAAACACGTTATGAAAGTTTAACATTAAATATCAGCTAATCATCTTTTTTCATTAAATATATACATTAATATAACTCGACGAAAACGTCATTAGGAATGCAAAGATGGGGTACGTAGATGAGATATGTAAGCCAATTATAATTTGATTTAAACTCGACTACAAAAGATATTGTAAGTCTGTTATAAGCATCACCAGAAGGCTTGTTTCGAAGAGGTGTTAGAAGTTGTGTTAGGAGGCGTGTTCTTTTTAAGAAGTAAATTGAGAGAAAGTAAATTGTGATTAAAATTGTTTTATTAATTTCCATTAAAAATTGAAATTAAATTATAAGTTAAATAAAAAACTTTTAATTTTTACGATGGTAAAATAAGTTATTCTCAAACAATGTCACATATTTTTTTTGGTATTATCATTAAGAAACTAACTCTTTGAAAAAGTTTATTTTTGTAGTAATTCAAAATGTTTTTAAATTGCTATCATAAAGTATCATTTTTAAATAATTCAGGACAAATACAGATTGTATCAGTCTGACAAAACGAATAAAAGATCAGTGTCACCTAAAGTCCTCTGACAAAGCGTGACAGCAATCGCTTAAACCAAATTATATAATTTATGAAAATGTTCTTCTGATTATTTCTTTACATAAACATAGATGAATGGCTTAGCACCAAACCAGCCTATTCAACAAAAAGGTTGACGCAAAGTGTTAAAATTTTCAACAAAAACCACTATACCAAACAAAATAAAAGTAATTGCTGTTCAGTGCACTTTTTTTAAGTTTAGTGTAACGGTATTTTTAAAGAAACTACATAAATCATTTTTTTTAATAAACTAATTTTTTTCAACTTCTTTAAAAAGTCTGATTTGGTGCTTAACCATCTTATGAAATATTAAATATACATATATATGTATATTTTATATATTATTTATATATTGTATATACATTATATAACGCATATATATATATATATATATATATATATATATATATATATATATATATATATATATATATATATATATATATATATATATATATATATATAATACTTATGGCAGATAAAACTATTATACCTGTAGTATTGCAACGGCTTTGTACTTTAAATGTGTTAACGCCTTGCATTTTACAAAAAAAAATGCAGTTTTATCATAAACTTTAAATACATTTTAATCTATTTATTTAATTAATACTTTCAATCAATATATAACGCCTTGCGTTTTAAAAAAAATGTAGTTTTAGCATAAACTATAAATACATTTTAATCTATTTATTTAATTAATAATTTCAATCTATATATTTGATTCATTTATAAATCCACTTAAAATACTCATACGTAAACGCATAAAACTAAATTTCGTAATAAACTTTTTCTATTAAATACAAAAATTTTTAATACCGTTCTTTGAAAAAAATAAAAAAAGAACATTTAGTTATAGTTAGAACTAATTATAATTTTTAATCTTTAAGAATATTCAGATTCCAATTATATGTTACTTTGACAGTATAAGTATTACATGCGGTATTATAAAAAATAAGAAACAAAATCTACCTAATTTAACCTGTAAAACTGGTAATATTAACTAAAAAGTTTAAGAAAATTGAATCCGCGATATTTTGATACACTATTTTCCATTGACGGGGAACAATATTTGTTACACAAATCTTAAATGTTTTATAATATCATATTTAAATGTTCTTACTGTTAGTATTATGTTATTCTTTTGCCACAAACTGATAGATCTAACGGGATGCATATGGTGGTGTTCCATCTTATCGAAAGACCACATTGTTTTCTGAAGCGTAGTGCTCTTAAGCTTGACATGGTTCAAATCTTTTGATACTTAAATTAGGTGTTTCTTAGTCCTAGTTCATGACTTTGCCCTAATATCTTTAACAACTTATATCTTAATTAATACCTAAATATCTTAATTCTTAATATCTTTCTGATCACGTTTCTGAAGGTGTGCTTACTCAGTGAGAATTCTATAGCGATTTTTCTCATTGACCTTATTGAACTTTAAAAAATTCTGCACTTGGCAGCCTTGATTAGTTAAGGAGTTTGGACCTCTTTAAACCATTGCCAAGCTTCTTCTTAACATAACCAGTCAATTAAAAACGTTTAATACTAGTGTTGAGAGTAATTAGTGGCTTGTTTAGCTGCTTGGAAAAGTCTTTGAGTGTAGTGCTATTCATTGCCAGGTTAACAATTGGTTTGTTTTACTACTCACCTTCATTTTGTGAATGTTTTTTGGTTTATTTTTCTTCTAAAAAATTTGTGTCAACAATAATAGGTTTGTGATACCTGATTTTACAAATTAAAAGGGTTTTAAGATCCAGAAGAAAAAGCTGTAAAAAACAAAACAATTAAAGATGCCGAAATAAAAAGTTCTCAAATGCTAGTTGCCAACAAGATGTGACATTTTAAAAATATATTGTTATATTATATCCGCATATCTAGTAAAGACGTTAAAAGAAGTTCAAGGAAAATTCATTTAAAGATCATCAAAAACCAATAAAAAAGATACTGGAAGGTATCTTTTTTATTGGTTTTGGATGTTCTGACACAGCTGCTTTGAAAACAGGTGTACATAATGGAGGAATTCAACTTATTAGTTAAACCAACTAATAAATTGAACTTAATGGAGGCATTATGTTTCTGTATTTTTTTCAAGAAGCAGATGTGACTTTTGTGTCGTTGACACAAATATAAGAAACGCATCACTCTATTTTAAGTAAGCATTAAGTCGAACACTGAAAAAAAAGTTTGGCACAACTCACAACTCGCAAACACTAAGGAAAGTCTTAGACAACAAATATCAATTGATTTCGAATTTTAAAAAATTATGCCCTAAAAAGTTTTGAGAATAAAATGAAGATCTAAAGTCATTAGAGATTTGCAAGCCATAAGTTGCAATATTTTGAAAAAAAATTCTTACAATGTCAGATTTCACAGGAACCTAACCGGATATTAAACAGAATATTTAAGATTGTGTAAGAACGGACTATATAAGATTATGTAAACCAGATTTTTTTACGATAGGTAACAAAGTACCAAACTTCTCCTTTCATCAACCCTTGATTTATAGCAAAGTGGGTATATTTATTCCTTTCATTAAATCATATGAAACTGAAGTTGATGTCATTGGATGGGAGAAAAAATGTCAACAAAAAAAGATAAAAAAGGTAATAAGACAAATTGGCTGAGAATATTGTTATTGCACTTGGCTGAGAATGTTGTTATTGTACCACTTAAAACTCAAGACGTAACTTTTAAACAGAAATTCTGAATGATTTTTAAAAAATCTTAGTAAGAATCAAATTTTGATATATTCTTTGAAATATTCTTTTGATTCAAAAGAATATTTCTTACTTTGAAATAAAAAAACTGAGATGACGTAATTATTGATAAGGACTCTCATTTACATGATATAACGCCACTCATTTACACTCATTTACATGATATAACGCCAACTCTGGGCAAGTTTTATAACATCGTTAAGGAAGAAAGTGTGAACTTTTTTTAAAATGCTATTTCTTGGTGCCCTGTGATAAGACTGTAAGGACTTTTTGGTCACCTGAAATAAATAATTAAATAAAAATTACAACATGAGTTTGTTGAAATAGCAATAGAAATAATATTGTACTGGATCTTAATATACAAGATGTTCTTAACCCTTTAGCTATTTTCCAATCAATCTATGATCAGAAAAATTTTTTAGACTTTAATCAACAAGTTTATAACATCCCACCTTGATTCTAATAACTTTCTCTCTTATAATCAATTCGTATTTTGGTACTTCTTGTTTTATGACTTACTTGCTAGCTGAAAAATTGTGTTGTTCATTAGACGGAGGCGGTGTAGTAAGGGCAATCGACATATCGAAAAATACCGCTATTACTTTTGCGGTGAACAGACGTGTTTATTTTTGATCGAAGAAAAATTTTAATTTTGATTTTTTTTTTATTTATTTATTTTTTATTTTATTTTTATTTTTTATCAATTATTAAATATGGCAGTAGCCATTTGTGAAATTCGAACAATGTTTAAGGAAATGTTTGCGGAGTACAAAAAAGATATAGCATTACTTATAAAACAACAAAAAGAAAATATGCTTAAACTCTTCAGTGCGAACGCAAAAATAACGAGCGACCGACAACAAAAAGCTGAAACAAACATTAATTACAGCATGGAAAAAATTAAACGATTGGAAAAGGATGTACTTGATATAAAGGAAAGTTTAAATTTTCACGAGGAACTCATCAAAAAAAAGGTCAAAAATAATATTGAGTCTATTGAAAAAAAAGAGTTTGTCAAAACGAAGCACATAAAAGCGATGAGTTTATTGACTTTAAAAAAAAAATTAGACAAATTGAGGATCGGTCACGAAGAAATAACCTTAGGATTGATAGCATCAAAGAAAATGAAAATAAAACTTGGTCTGAAAGTGAAATAAAAGTGATTAAACTTTTTGAGGAGTCTTTAGGAGTGGAAAATGTGAGAATTAAACGAGCGCATCGCAGTGGACGCCGAGACGCAAAAACACCACGCACAATCATTATTAAGCTGTTAGATTACAAAGATAAGGTAGAAATTTTAAAAAATTCTTCTAAATTAAAGCGTAAAAATATCTACATAAACGAAGATTTTTGCTTTGAAACGAACTTAATTAGAAAAGATCTTAGAGAAAAAATGAAAATTGAGCAGTAAATTTGCACTTATATCATACGATAAGGTGATTGTACGGTGTCTAAGAAAACAGAAGAAATCCCGAATCGGTGTCAAAATACTAAGGGTTAGGGTTTATTAGTATTCTTTTAACTATTGATAACTATTTTATTAACTATTTTACGTTTATCTATATATGCTTTACTTTAAAATGGAGAAAAACTTTATAATTAAATTTTTAGATGAAAATGTCTTACTAAGTGACGTCGATGACACTAATAATTTTAATCATAAAATATCTTAAAGCCAATATTATACAGTTATTGAATCTTCTCAATATCTTCAAAAAAATAAAAATAGTTTTTCAATTTTAAACATTAATATTCAAAGTTTAAATAAAAATTTTGAAAATCTCAAATTTTTATTGGATGAATTAAAACACAATTTTAAATTTATTTGTCTTACGGAAACTTGGTGTAAGTGTGGTGAAACAAATGCGCAATTTGAACTAATTAATTACAAATCAATTCATCAACCACGTCATTTTGGTATTGGTGGGGGCGTAAGCATTTTTATCCACAACTCAATTATTTATAATTTACGTAATGATCTCTGTGTGAATGAAATAGATTGTGAGTCATTATACATTGAATTAATAAATAAAACCACAAAAAAAGTAATTAAAAATACCACATATAGACCACCATCTACTAGCTTAAAAAAATTTAAAACTCATCTTAAACCATTCTTAACAAGTATAAATAAAACCCGAAGTCATGCCTACTTAGTTGGGGATTTTAACATTGACCTAAAAAACCATGCTTTTAATAATAATGTTAACAATTTTGTAAACACTCTTCTTCAAAATAATTTAATTCCGGCAATAAACAAACCAACGAGAGTGACTAACAACTCTTCTACGCTTCTTGAAAATGTAATAACTAATAACTATCATAATAACCATCTTTACACAGGCATAATCAAAACTGACTTATCGGATCATTTCCCAACATTCCTAGTTACTAATAATATATTATTTAACGGTGTACCTTCTCAATCCATTACATTTAGGCGACAGATCAATGAAAACTCGGTAAAACAATTTCAAAATCTTTTAAGAGCAACGTTGATTGGGATCTGGTATTGCAGTCACATGACGTTAACAACGCATATGATCTATTTTTAAATCAATTCTGTAAGCAATATGATCAAGCATTTCCTGAAAAAAAAATTATTGTAAAAACCAAAACTGTTTTAACTCCATGGATGCCTAATGGGTTAATAAAATCTTCAAAAAGAAAACAAAAGTTATATGATAAGTACTTGAAAAAAAAAACTTATAAAAACGAAATGACATATAAAAGTTATAAAAATATATTTGAAAAAACAAAAAGGAACTCAAAAATGCTTTATTATGCAAAACTACCGGAAACGCTAAAAAAACATGGAGTGTAATTAAAGAAATAATCGGAAAAAATAATTATTCAAGAAACAT